ACTATTCGTCGACTATTCGCGGACTATTCGCGGACTATTCGCACTATTCGTCGACTATTCGCGGACTATTCGTACTATTCGTCGACTATTCGCGGACTATTCGCACTATTCGTCGACTATTCGCGGACTATTCGCACTATTCGTCGACTATTCGCTTCACTATTCTAGTTTTATCAATTGCCCATAAAATCTCTGTAAATCTCCGTAGTTGCCGAGCAAAAAGCATGCATGATGCTAAATATAAATCTCGACTATGATTGGATAATGGGTGAAGGTGCTAATTACAAAACGTCAATCATCCTTAATGGGCGAAAACAAATTTGTCATAGCCAATTTGGGCAGGCGTTCCCTCTGTACCCGCCCGTCAGCTAAACGCCTGCTACGCAGGCTAAGTAAACTAAAGATCGCTAAAATTATACCAATTTTTAAAACTGGAAATCAAAGTTTCTTTACAAACTATAGACCTATATCACTCCTGACAAACTTTTCAAAGTTATTTGAAAAAGTTATGCAAATCAGGTTAACATTATTCATTGAGCAATGTGAAATTTTGTATACTAGATTTCAGTTTGGTTTTCGCAGTAACCATTCTACTGTGCATTCACTTGTTTCTCTAATAAATAACGTTGCCACGGCCATTGATCGGAACCAGATAGCTGCTGGAGTGTTTATTGATCTTTCGAAGGCTTTTGATACTTTAGATCATGAAATATTATTTACTAAATTACAACATTATGGTATAAGAGGCGTTGCATTTCAATAGATCAAGAGCTATTTCTGCAATCGTGAACAATTTGTTCACGTAGGTGTATTATTATTATTATTTAAAAATATTTATACACAGTAGCCTTTCACTTGCGTGATTTTCAAAGGGCCGTGTGTTTTAAAAAAATAAAAAAAGAATTACAACATTTAACTAAGACATTACATTACAAACTATTACAAAGTTTCACAAAAATTATTAAGTAAGCTACGAAAAGAAGAAATAGATTGGGATTCGTCTACCACTCGTAAAAGTTCAGAGGGTAGACTATTCCACGCGACAGCCCCACGGTAGGAGAAGCTTCTTTTTAAATGATGGGTAACAAGTTAAGAATGAAAAGGACAGCTGTACCTGTTCAAGGCCTTTAGTTCAGGCGAAAACTGGACAGCAAAGTCATGCAGTAAAAACAAACTTACCCTATACTTCAGGATTTCTCATACTTATCGTTTCTTTAAAATTCGAAAAAGGTGATTTACAACTTATCTATAGTGTGTGAAACGTTATCCTGCACGGAAAACCATTTGGTATTCCTTTAGTAATAGTTATCATATTACATCAGCCGGGAATTGTCTTTCTAATGAGATAAAAAAATCATTAACTACATACTTTTCCTACATTTAATTCCTGGCTGGCTACTTCCTAAATAATATACAATAAGCATTGTTGTTATATAGGATTGCCTGATTTGTGGTCACGTGGCTTTAGATAAATGCAATTTATCTCGCCGGGCAACAAGTGAAAAATTGTCGCCCGCCCAGACTGGCTACGTACATAACTCGCAAGTTTATATAAACTACGATTTTCCAAGTTTGTGTTAAAATAAAAAAATGCAAAAGAGAAGAAAAATACACAACAGGCAACAGGATATGCTGCTGAAACCGTTTAAGTAGGTTCTTTTAATTTTAAACTCGTTTACACTATACAGTTTTTGTCATGAAATGTAATTGCATGTTGGAAGAATGTTGTTGATTTTTCTTTCGTCGCTATATAACAAAACACTTACTGTCTGTTCCATCAGGAAATAGTTAGTTTTGTTTCCCTCTAGGGAAAACAAAACTAACTATTTCCCTCGGGAGAAGAAATTAAGTGTGTAATGTGTACGTACAATTATTTATTAATTACCAAACAATTACGTACATTCAAGAAGTAACATTAACTGAGTAATAAAAGTCGACTACTTAGTAAAAAGATGCAAAGTTTACAATCAGTAAAAATCAGCCACCAGGGACAAGGTACTTCTTGTCACATGCATCATAACCAGCCTGGCTATAATACGTCACCGCGCAGTAATAGTTGAATCTTGAATAAAGATCAGGCTGATAACGAACTTGTCGTGAACTAATATAGCCAGTAAAGAAACTGTCATTTGATTGGTTGATAAGATTATCACTTAGATTCTTTATTCTCTTGCCATTTATAACTTGGTCATCACTTCCACTGGGTGGGTATCGTGAAGAAAATTTGTAGTCTAACTGCCATACCGGATTGTCGAATTCTAAAGAAATAAAACCAAATATATAAAATTAGAAATGAAAATGGTTCAGAAATATTCTCACTGTACACTAAAACCTGATTTCAATTTCAAAAGGTCCTATATGAAAATCGTTCTTCACTAATTGCAGAGATATCTTGACATGCGCCAATCACGATAAGTTCGGGCTAGTATATAGTAATAACTTGTTTTCGAATTCAATCTGAAGAAACATGGCTGCAAGTGGGTTATCAAAATCTGAAAGACGAAGAAATGGAGGGTTGAGGTGAAATTTTGTACAGATTTCAGTTCGGTTTTCGCAGTAACCATTCTACTATGCATTCACTTGTTTCTCTAATAAATAACGTTGCCACGCCCATTGATCGGAAACAAATAGCTGCTGGAGTGTTTATTGACCTTTCAAAGGCTTTTGATACTTTAGATCATGAAATATTATTTGGTAAATTACAACATTATGGTATCAGAGGCGCTGCACTTCAATGGATCAAGGAGCTATTTCTGCAATCGTGAACAATTTGTTCAATATAATGAAACCTGTTCCTCCATGTTAAAATGTGGAGTTCCGCAAGGTTCTATTTTAGACCCATTTTTTATTTTATATATCAATGATCTACCTAATGCACTAGAACTGTCAAAATCTTATCTTTTTGCTGATGACACTAGCATATATTATTCAAATTCGGATGTCAAGCAGCTTGAGTTTGTTTTGAACAGTGAACTTCGGAAGCTGGATATCTGGATGAAGTCAAATAAATTGTCTGTGAACATCAGTAAAACAAATTATATAATTTTTCGGCCGAGACAAAAAGAAAATTAATTTAAATCTAGTTATCCAATATTTAACAATTATTGGATGAGGTTTTTGTGATATGCGGAATTATCAAGGTCGAGGTAAGCGTTATCAGCCGAGCCGAAGGCGAGGCTGATAACGCTTACCGAGACCTTGATAATTTTGCATATTGCAAAAACCGAATTCAATAATTGTTTTATTATACATTTGAAGAATAATAAACATAGTATTTTAATACTATGTTTATTATTCTTCAAATGTATAATAAAACAATTATTGAATTCGGTTTTTGCGATATGCAAAATTATCAAGGTCTCGGTAAGCGTTATATTCAATATGATTTCTGGCAAAGCTGTTCAAGTAAAACGTTTCTATAAACAAGTCTCCGGAAGTCCAACAGTTAAATTAATTACAAATATAAAACAAACATATTATCGTTAAGATGTTAACGTATTAAAATATTTACTTGTTAAAGTAAACATTACAATTATGAAATGTACATTCATTTGAAAATTGAAATGTACACTCATTTGAAATATACACTCATTCAATTTCACGCAACCTACACAAAATTCAGTTATCTGCTAGCAGATAACTGAGTTATCTGCTAGCAGATAACTGAATTTTGTGTAGATTGCGTGATTGCGCGATTTAACTGTCAGCTCTTAGCCAATCAAATTGCTTTTACCAACTACAATGTATAATAAAACAATTAAATGATCACACAAAGACAATATATAATTTTTTTAAGAGTATATATATATAGACGAACATTTGTCATGGAAGGAACACATTAATTATATTTGCAATAAAATCGCCAAGTCTGTTGGAATTATTTACCGATCATGATATCTACTGTCATCCGCAACAAGATTACCTTGTACTACATACTTAAATAACTTATATATCCCTATCTTACTTATTGTAATATAGTATGGTCTTCCACTTGTGTAACCAACCTAAGTAGAATTCTTCTTTACAAAAACGAGTTGTACGTATTCTTACAAATTCCAAATACCGTGCACACACTGATCCACTTTTTAAACAACTCAAAATATTGGATATATTTAAGTTAAATTCATTTCATATTGGCAAGCTTATGTTTTTATATCATCATTGCATGTTGCCGACATGCTTTGATGAATTGTTTACAACAAATAATCAAATACTTAACAATTATTCGCCTAAGGCGAGGTAATTATCGGGGAATATTCGCCGAGACGAAATTTAGTACTTGTACACAAGCTTTTGTGTTTTTTGAGACTGAATTTATTTTAATTTTGCTTATTTCTTTGTCAGTGAACTTCCACAAAACGGATAGCCGCCATTTTGAAAATTTCTGTTTTGTTATAATTCATCTATAGGTGAATATAACAGCTTATTACGTCAAATTTGACCAATCAACGTGTAGGATTTGTTATGTTCACTTGTGCAAAAATACTAAATTAATTTAAGTAGTTTACCATTTTATACTCAGGGCCGAATATTTGGAATTTTTCACCTATAAATATAACTGTTATAACTTTCAAAACGCAACTTCATAATTTTTTGCTTAACGAATAACGATGTTATACAACTAGCTCTGATGGTATGACCATGCATGTTTATCGAATATTCAGTGACAATATATAAAATTACTGGAAAATCTATTATATAATTATGTACATCTTCTCTCTTAATTTCATTAATATATGTTTCAATTTCATTATATTCGTAATTTAATACAGCCTGAAACTATTCATAAATTAAATACTAACTTTGAATTTTGAGATGGGGTGGCCTCTTTACACAAGCTCTAAGTTTCTTGAGGTCTCCTCGCCGACTTTATTTTATTAATATAACTATCTTGTAAATAACTAACAGTCTTTTTTTTGGCAAATAAACCAATAATAATAAAAAATAGTAATATATTCTCACTGCTCGCTTTCCCCGCACAATACCTTTGACTGAGGGAATTCAGATTGGGGATAAATAATTTTCAGCCAAAAGTAGAGTGCGGCGAAGCTAGGGCCGGAAGTGTCGCAGCCGAGGGGAGGTGGGTGGGTCCCAAAAAATTTCAGCGCCGTCCTTCCTTTCCGGTGGCAAATCCGCAAATGCTCAAAAGATACCGATTCTGTGCTACTTTTATACTGTCTGACAATCACGTGGTGTATATGGATGACTAACTGATCATCTCATGCATAAATATTGAAAGTATATGGTATTGTGAGAGAAAACTCCCAGTGAGAATAGTAATATATTCTCACTGCTCGCTTTCCCCGCACAATACCTTTGACTATTTGATAAATAATTTCTAGCCCCGGCGGACTCCGGCTCCTTAAACAGCACCATAGGCAGAAAATATTACAAAGACTTCATGACGATCAGACTTCAAAAGCGAGAATCTTCTCTCTCTCTCTCTCTCTCTCTCTCTCTCTCTCTCTCTCTCTCTCTCTCTCTCTCTCTCTCTCTCTCTCTCTCTCTCTCTCTCTCTCTCTCTCTCTCTCTCTCTCTCTCTCTCTCTCTCTCTCTCTCTCTCTCTCACACAGAAAAACATGCACGTTACATCACCAAAAGCGTCTTAACACGCACGATAAATATCTTAAGTTATAAATGGAATGTCGCATGCCTGGCACCCAAAGCACATTTCCACGTTGCCTTACCCAAAATGAGATATTTTGCCCCATCAAAGCATATCGTGCACTTCACCCAAAGCGAGCTTTTGTTTCGAATGACCAAATGAAAGCTTGCCCCACCAAAGGAATATCGTACACTTTGCTTCACGCAAAGTGAGCGTTTGTATCTAATGACAAAATTAAATCGTACCTCACCAAAGACTGATCTTACACGTTACTGCACCCATGAAAACAAGCACAAAGATAGCCTTGCCTAATCAAAAACAAACACTTTCACCCAAAGCACGCGACTGCAAATGCATTCATGCTTCACCAAAAACAACTATTAAACCATGCACGGCCCAACGTATAAATAAGAACAATACTGATGGGCCTCACCAAAAGCAACCATGCATATACTCTTCAATATGCAAGAAACCAAGGAAGAATACTGAGTTACCGCACCAAAAGCAACCAAACGCTACAACGCGCAAGTACGAATAAGACTGAGTCGCCTCACCAAAAGCAACTATAGAGACAAACGTGCAAGTAACAATAATAATGGACGGAGTCAAAACCCGATCGATAAAGACGGCGCTTCTGATTAGGAACAGGGACCGTTAGAATGTAGGAGGTTCATATTTAAGAAAAAACTTCTACTAAGCCAGTTTACCGAGTACGGCTACTCGCGAGTTGTATACAAGACGTATAAAAATCATTAGTGTGCTGTTGTAAACAGAGTGAGGACGATGTCTAAAACTCCCAAGGGACTTTTAATTATTCATTTCTCAATAACGCTATCATAAAGTCCATTATACTAGAAAATGCATGCATGCAGAAACCCTCGCCTTGCTGACAAAACCCTTGTATTTTCCGAACATGAAGTATCTAAAGTAGTTGTCATGGTAACACGACAATTTTTTAAGAATATTCTTACAAATGAAAAATCGACTAAAAATATCACTTTTAATTACAAAATTATCAATTTCCCAACATATATATTTTAGGTATGTTATTATACGTAATATAAGCTTCAATTTAAGGTGAAATTATTTTTATTTTATTTTACAGATTTTGCCATTTAACACAAACTATTACACAAAATTAGTTAACACAAACTATTACACACAATAGATTACATGGCTGGAATTACCACACAGAGATGTGGGTAATTCTCTGATCAAACAGGGGAGTGTATTCCACACGTTGGCAACTCTGACGTAGAAGCTGTTTTGGTAGTTCACTGTCTTGCACTTGGCTACTTCAAGTAAGATACCATTGGTTGCATTAGCACTTCGTGTTTCTCGAGTAAGAATCTTGATAGAAATGTTACTGTCAGAGTTGGAAATGATGCACTTGTAGAGATACACTAGATCTAAATACTCGTGCCAGTAACATATAGGGATGATGCCGATGGTGGTCAGTCTTTCCTGTTATGATATATCGGTTTGGTACGGCAATGACAAAAGAAATTTGGTGGCACGTCGCTGCACACGTTCAACGGTCAAGATGTTGTTTACCGTCTGGGGTGCCCATACCTGACTACCATAAGCCAGCTGACTACGAACCGTAGTCAAATAAAGTACCTTACGAACTCTACGCTGGCGAATGTCGAACGCTGTTCGCTTTACGAAACCTAACATTTTATTTGCTTTGGTCGATATCTCTTGCACCTGTTTGTTCCATTTAAAGTCGTTAGTGGTAGTTATGCCAAGATCTTTCTGACTGGATGATTGTAGGACTGGAGTGTCTGATATTGTGTACTGTGTGATCATCGGTTGAGCAATTCTTGAGAAATGCATGACTACACACTTGGTTTGGTTTAAGTCCATCCTCCAGTCACTACACCAGTTGGCAACACTATCCAGATCTTGCTGCAGAATTATGGTGTCTTGGAAATTTCGAAGATGACGGTGACATTTTGTGTCATCAGCGAACATTGACACGGTAGTATCGTGCGAGGTAGACATAGGAAGGTCGTTCACGTAGATGAGGAAAAGGAGTGGTCCAAGGATTGATCCCTGAGGAACTCCAGAAAGCACTGGAAGTGGTTCAGATGTTACACCAAGAACAGTGACTCTCTGTAATCGCCCAGAAAGATAGTCCCCAAACCAGCGAAGAAGCTTTCCTCTGATGCCAAAATTGTGAAGCTTCACAAGTAAGAGATCATGGCTGACTTTGTCGAAAGCTTTCGCGAAATCAAGATAGATAGTGTCAACTTGGCCCCTTTTCTCTAAGACATTATGAATCTCGTGAAGAACATAAAGCATCTGGGCAGTTGTAGACTTGCCGCTTTGAAAACCGTATTGAAGATCATAAAGTTGACTTGAGAGGTGGCCAATAATTCTATTGTAGATGCAACGTTCAAACACCTTGGAGACCAGCGACAAAAGTGATATTGGTCTATAGTTGCAGACTTCATGGAAAGGACTTTTCTTTGGAATTGGACTGATATTAGACAACTTCCACTCCAACGGCAGTTTTCCACAAGATAAACTCTTGTTGAAAAGTTCGCATAAAGATGGACTGATGTTAGCTGTGCAGGTTTTTAGCAATACCGCCGGAATTTTGTCAGGACCAGTGGCTTTGTCTACGTCGAGAGTTTTAAGTACACAACAAACTTCTCCTTCAGCTAACTCGAGATCTGAAATGGTTATTAGATTAATCGAATTGTCGTCAGCAGGAAGAGGGCTGTGATGAGCGGCATCACATGGTTTAAACACGGAGTAGAAGTAGCGATTTAGCAGGTTAGCTATGTCGATTGGATTTTCAGCTGTTGTGGGAGAAGAGTCTTGTTGGGTCCATGTCATTTTTCCAGGAATGTTCGAGCGTTTGGAAGTGGCTTTAAACACTGACCAGAACTTTTTGCTGTTTGATTTTAACAGTGTTGGAAGAGATTGAAAGTACTGTGTGCGCTTGGTTCTAACTAAAGACTTAGCTGTTCGTCGAAGTTCGCGGAATTTTTCCCAGAGTCTAGGACACGACGTACGTTTAGCTTTGTTCCTGCACGAGTCCTTTTTTGAGAGAAGACGCCTCACTTCACCGTCAATCCATGGAGGAGTGTTACGCCGCTTGAATGTTTTGACTGGGATATGCTCAGCAGCAACACCGAGGAAGAGATCTTTCCACCGTTCCCAATCAGTGTTGACATCACTGGACTCGCCAGGTGATAAATCGCACTGATCAAGCGCTATTCGTAACCCGTTCCAATCAGCGAGATGAAAGTTGAACACAGTTCTCTTATCATGTCCTGTTAATTTTACTTGTAGTAAAAAGTCGAAGAACATTAGGTGGTGGTCACTAGAGAGGTGCACTGTTTTGGCTGCAACGCACGATAGATTAACGATGTTGTCAGGAGTGGTTGTTAGGACAAGGTCTAAAATGTTGTTAACTCTGGTCGGGTACATGTTCACTTGCTGTAAGAAAAAATCAAAACTTAGTTCTCTGAATTCAGAAGACCCAGCAGAAATATTTTTTTCTGAAATAACAGGCACAAAGTTCGAGTTCCAAGTTAGATCGGGGAAGTTAAAACCACCAGATATTAGTACTTTATCATAGTGGGAAGTTTCCTCCAGAAATGCCGTGAACAAATGGAGCCATTCATCTAAGTTACAACTAGGAGGTCGGTAACAGACACATACGAGAGATTTCTTAGAATTTATCAATTCCAGTTCAAGCGCAATAATTTCTAAACGATCTGACCAGTTTGGGTTATTTTTACTTGCAATTAATCTATTATACGCAATGTCTTCACGTAATACTATAAACACCCCGCCACCGCGTTTGTCAGCCGCTCGATCTTTTCTTATGACGTGATAACCTTTCGGTAGCAACTCATTGTTCGTGAAATTATGATTTAGCCATGTCTCAGTTACCAAAATCAAATCAAGAATGTCGGCATAAACCAGGTCTTGAAAAGACTTCAAGTTGTTAATTAAAGTCCCATCAGGTAATTTTGTAGTACTTCGAATACTCTGGGCATTGAAGGAAAGACACCGAAAATATTTACTACAAGGACCTGGATTGATAGCAATGTCTCCTGATAACAAGATCCATAAGAGTAGGTGTAGATTACTAGTTTACCCACAGGGTAGTGAATGCTGCCTTAGTATAGCATTGTTCCCAAATCTTTAATATTTTAAAGAATAAGAGTAAGAAATATTTGTAATCACCATTCCCCAATTAACCAAAATTTTGATCTCAACAAGTCTAGACAAAATTCCATCATAGCATGAAAGAGCATCGCAAAATTAGTAATATTCCAAAGTTTCGTTGCGAAATGTTGTAAAATGCGAATAATATAGCCTTGCGAAATTTGCAATTTTCAGTCATTTTAGATTACAAACGGGATATGGTTACCACTTTTCCAAAATTTTGATCTTAACTAGCCTAAACAAAAATTTCATCAGAACTTGAAAGAGCCTCACAAAATTAGTAATATTCCAAAGTTTCGTTGCAAAATGCGGATAATATAGCCTTGCGAAGTTTGTAATTTTCAGTCATTTTGTAATTTGTATTACGCACAGAAGTGGTAACCATCTCCCGTTTGTAATCTAAAATGACTGAAAATTGCAAAGTCTAGATTTGTCGAGTTCAAAATTTTGGTTAATCGTTGGAATTATCCATAATTTATACACTTGAATGTGTCGTATGATAACTCGGCGCTCGAAGTTTCGTACCGAAAGAGGAACAGCCGAACAGGTACGATGGCTAACAAGAATGAGTGTACTTATCAACTTATCTAACGCGAGGAAAATATCAAAATGGCAGGTATGGCTGTGATATCTAGTATATAAAATTGTATCGACAATTTGCCTACAAATACGGTGCACTGCTACTGCTAGGTCAAAACGGCCCCGCTTCAATAATAATATGATTTAGACCAGGGGTTAAAGGGCAATGACAATGACATGCATGCAGGTGACATTTAACATGTGCGAGTGTGCGTCTCACTGTTTATCAAAGAAGGCAAAAATATATACAAGACAACCTCACATGTGGAATCTGTTCACTTACGCACTGCGTTGTGATGCAGTACAAGTACAAATACAAATGACAAAGCATTTTTAAAGGCTTTAAATCCTAAAACATAATCAAATCATACGGCATATTAAAATAAATACGGCATATTAAAATAAATACGGCATATTAAAATATCGTATTTCAGCCGCGTTTATACTGCTTGGCGCGTATTCGCTGAGTTATATATTAATTTATATACCTATGTTATATACACATATTTATTACTAATAAATCAACACTAAATGATAATATATAAGAACTCACAAAGTGCAGTCACCTTTTTATAAATAAACCTTTTTAAAAGCATGTCATTGTCATTGCAGACCAGAGGTAAAAAGCACAGCCACATAGGCTTACCAGATTTATTAAGCAATCGTGAGATTATATACATGGAAAGAATATGGAAATTATGTTAAAATTACCCCGTATAATGACGAAAGCACCGCGTATAATGCTCGAACCACTGCGTATAATGGCGAACGCACCACGTATAATGCTCTAACCACTGCGCATAATAGCGAAACCACCGCGTATAACGCTCGAACCACTGCGTATCGACAAAATGCCGTTTGATCACTTACGCCAGCTGTGGCTTTCCATAAAAGAAAACCAAAGATGAAAGATGATCACATTGCTTGTTTGCCTTATGCCTGTTTATTAGGCAAGAATAGCCTGCCCGGCCCGGAAGCAGTGCATTGTGGTAGGCCGAAATACGCCGAAACGATCGAGATTTCATCTGCCTTATATATATATATATATACATATACATAAAGATTAGGACTGCTGCCTCGCTCGCTCGCTTCACGCTCGCTCGCTACGGCAGCAATTATTATTAATTTGAAACTGTAGGCCATAACGATAATTACTGGACACTGAACATTTCCTTAAAATAGTATCACGCGTTGAAATCCAAATATAGCTTAATCGGCCAGATATTGATACAAGTTCAGAGGAAATAATGGAATTCTGCGTCGTTGAACCACAAACGTTGAAATTCAACCACAAACGCTTCGCAAAACGTTTTAAAGTGTTCTTTATAAAACTAAACTGCCTTTAAAGGTAGGTTACAGTCCCTTCTGCGCATGCGCGGGCTTTGTTTACGTTTTTTGTTTTGATCCACATTAATTATATAAGATGAAGTATACGACGAGTTCAAAGTAACATTCCACATAATTTGTGACCGAGGAGTGCAATGTTTGACAATACTTCGCTTCATTTCTTGTACATTTCTACACTGGAAATTTTTGTACACAATCTTATACTGTAACTGTTTAACTGTAAACATCGTGAATAAAGTTATAAAAAGGTCGCTTTGAACCTTGTGTGACTTGCTATATCAACAGCCGGGCCGGCGAACCGAAATCCCGAAGGTGTGAGTTCGAATAATTTGTGTTTACCTTTGGAGTTTGTGTCTCATCATGAAAATAGTTAATGCGGTATCAATCCCTCGAAACATGTTGCCAGTGTTGTTGTTGTCATTATGACAGAAGCGCTTGGGGAAAGCTTTTCGCTTGACGAAATTCGAAACAAGTGTGATTGAGAATGTGGCTGCGGTTCCTAGCTGTCTTCGTGGCAAAGCCAAGGGCGAAATTTGGGACCGTGCAAAAGCTGGATAAACAGCTTTTGTCCAAGCTCGTGCACGCTATGGAGATGATTTCGTTATAAACAACAGAAGAGTTCATTAGTTCAATAGATTGACAGTGACGAGAGTACGAGACGCTAAGATCATATTCAACTTTTTTGTGTTATAAAAATGTATGTTTTGAAATTATGAACTGGAAGTATGAATTCATTGATATTACTCTCATATTGACACTAAATGATGATATTGTTGTGACACTGAATGATCTAATAGTAATATTAACTCCAACAATTCTGGTCAATCTAGTGATCACGTTAGTTCATCACGTCTCTTCAAGACAGAGGACAATTGCTGAATATATGCTTGTTTCGCTCTATATCAGAGCTCATCAGAATGCTCAGGAAACACTGATGAAATTTTTATTTACATCAACGAATCTTTCTTTTTCTTAACAGATTTATTGGGTTAGAATATATGATAATACGAATAATTTATAAACAATTATTATTATTAGGCATGAATATGACTCAAGGGCTTATGCCCCCCCCCTGAAAATACTGAATATACTAAATATAATTACAGTTTGTGACATGAACAGTCAGGTAAGCACCATTCACATAAGAACCTGTTTAGGCTAACTTGGAAAAAATCTAGGTTCTTATTATA